TATAGTCTAGTCTATAGTCTAGTCTATAGTCTAGTCTATAGTCTAGTCTATAGTCTAGTCTATAATCTAGTCTATAGTCTAGTCTATAGTTTAGTCTATAATCTAGTCTATAGTCTAGTCTATAGTCTAGTCTATGGTCTAGTCTGTAGTCTAGCCTATAGTCTAGTCTATAGTCTAGTCTACAGTCTAGTCTGTAGTCTAGCCTATAGTCTAGTCTATAGTCTAGTCTACAGTCTAGTCTGTAGTCTAGTCTATAGTATAGTCAGAAGTCTAGTCCATAGTCTAGTATGTAGTATAGTCTACAGACTGTATCTATATCTAATTTAGTTTTTAGTAGACTTCATTCTTTAGTAGAGTCCATTTCGTTAGAGTCTGTTGACCCCTTATAAACTTTCATCTGCATTTGTTTTTATTAAGCTATTTTGTCTAACAACAGTAAGGCTTCTAAATACCACTACATAGAAATTAATATTGATTTTATTACTGTTAATTAAAGTCTATGAAAAATTAACAAATGTCTATAAAAGTAAAAATAACGTAAAAAAATCTATTTATTTTCCTGTAGCAAAAAAGAAAACATTTCAAACAAAACACTCACAAACCTTAATGAAATTAAACATATGTATGTATGAATGAATGTATGTTAATGTATAAATTTGCTATTAAATAGTAGTAACAAATACTTACTTTTGATATAAACTAAATAAAACCACAAAATTGATATACTCCATATACAACCACAAACTGGTGGTCAATAACCGACAACAATTTTATATGGATGCCAGCATATACACATATGTACATATGTACGTGTTTACACACTTTAGTTTAATGAGTGGATATGTGGACAATTTAGATAAATATATACAAATGTATATGAGCTGTTTACTGCTCTTTTATTTATATATACTTATGTTTTTTTTCTCTCTAGTACATATTAAAAACATGCAGTACGTAAATGTACTAACTAACACATGTGCTAAGTTTTTAATATAACAAACACGTAAAGTATTATACAATTATACAATCTCACACATGCATTTTGTGTATAAAAACTACACTAACCTACAAAATAAAAACAAGTAACAACATTATTTGCATATAAACAAATAATCAGCAAAATAACTACAACTACAAGTAGTAACTGTATCAGTGGCAAATATACATTGCACAGTGGGCTAGAATCGTGATAATTTGGAAATCAAGCTGACATTACCATGCTCTTATCATATAGTTTAATGTTTCCTATATTTCATAGTTTAGAATACTTTTGATTCCAAAACACATATTTGAATGAATTTCTTTAACACTTGTGGCCCCATTATGCAATTTCCTCAACAACAATTTCAATTTATTTGTGAACAAAACAACTAAAGCTAATAGACAAATACATATGTACGTACTACATACGAAATATTCACACATTGAGTTAAATTGAAATAAACAACAATAACAATAACAGCATAAGCAACAGCAACAAATGTATATAAAGTAGTATTTTATGACAACAAAAACAACAACAGGAGCAACACCAATCAAAACTAACAACATAACAGTACTAAATTTAATGTATATTTTTGCATTAAATAGAGAAGACAGTGAAGTAAAAGAATTTAATTTTGGTCATGATTTGTGAAATGAAAGACTATACCGACTGCAGATCAGGCTAGACAATAAACTAGACTAGACTATAGACTAGATTATAAACTAGACTACAGACTAGACTCTATATTAGACTATAGACCAGACTAAAGACTAGACTCTATATTAGACTATAGTATAGACTATAGACTAGACTGTAGACTAGACTATGGAATAGACTATAGACTAGACTATAGACTAGACTGTAGACTAGAATATAGACTAGACTATAGACTAGACTGTAGACTAGACTATGGAATAGACTATAGACTAGACTGTAGACTAGACTATAGACTAGACTATAGACTAGACTATAGACTAGACTATAGACTAGACTATAGACTAGACTAGACTATAGACTAGACTATAGACTAGACTATAGACTAGACTATAGACTAGACTATAGACTAGACTATAGACTAGACTATAGACTAGACTATAGACTAGACTATAGACTAGACTATAGACTAGACTATAGACTAGACTATAGACTAGACTATAGACTAGACTATAGACTAGACTATAGACTAGACTATAGACTAGACTATAGACTAGACTATAGACTAGAATATAGACTAGACTGTAGACTAGACTATAGACTAGACTATAGACTAGACTATAGACTAGACTATAGACTAGACTATAGACTAGACTATAGAATAGACTATAGACTAGACCATAGAACTAGACTATAGTCTGTAGTCTAGTCTATAGTCTAGTCTGTAGTCTAGTCTATAGTCTAGTCTATAGTCTAGTCTATAGTCTAGTCTATAGTCTAGTCTATAGTCTAGTCTATATTCTAGTCAATAGTCTAGTCTATTGTCTAGTCTATAGTCTAGTCTATAGTCTAGTCTATAGTCTAGTCTATAGTCTAGTCTATAGTCTAGTCTATAGTCTAGTCTATAGTCTAGTCTATAGTCTAGTCTATAGTCTAGTCTATAGTCTAGTCTATAGTCTAGTCTATAGTCTAGTCTATAGTCTAGTCTATAGTCTAGTCTATAGTCTAGTCTATAGTCTAGTCTATAGTCTAGTCTATAGTCTAGTCTATAGTATAGTCTATAGTCTAGTCTATAGTCTTGTCTATAGTCTAGTCTATAGTCTAGTCTATAGTCTAATCTATAGTCTAGTCTACAGTCTAGTCTATAGTCTAGTCTATAGTCTAGACTATAGTCTAGTATATAGTCTAGTCTATAGTCTAATCTATAGTCTAGTCTATAGTCTAATCTATAGTCTAGTCTATAGTCTAGTCTATAGTCTAGTTTATAGTCTAGTCTATAATCTAGTCTATAGTCTAGTCTATAGTCTAGTCTATAGTCTAGTCTATAATCTAGTCTATAGTCTAGTTTATAGTCTAGTCTATAGTCTAGTCTATAGTCTAGTCTATAGTCTAGTCTATAGTCTAGTCTATAGTCTAGTCTATAGTCTAGTCTATAGTCTAGTCTATAGTCTAGTCTATAGTCTAGTATATAGTCTAGTCTATAGTCTAATCTATAGTCTAGTCTATAGTCTAATCTATAGTCTAGTCTATAGTCTAGTATATAGTCTAGTCTATAGTCTAGTCTATAGTCTAGTCTATAGTCTAGTCTATAGTCTAGTCTATAATCTAGTCTACAGTCTAGTCTATAGTCTAGTCTATAGTCTAGTCTATAGTCTAGTCTATAGTCAAGTCTATAGTCTAGTCTATAGTCTAGTCTATAGTATAGTCTATAGTCTAGTCTATAGTCTAGTCTATAGTCTAGTCTATAGTCTAGTCTATAGTCTAGTCTATAGTCTAGTCTATAGTCTAGTCTATAGTCTAGTCTATAGTCTAGTCTATAGTCTAGTCTATAGTCTAGTCTATAGTCTAGTCTATAGTCTAGTCTATAGTCTAGTCTATAGTCTAGTCTATAGTCTAGTCTATAGTCTAGTCTATAGTCTAGTCTATAGCCCATATTCAAGTCTATACCCTAATCTATAGTCTAATCTACAGTGGAGTCTATAATCTAGTCTTTAGACTACGCTATAGTCTAGTCTACAGCCTTGTCTAAAGTCTAGTCTATAGCTAAGTACATAGCCTAGTCTAAAGTTTAGTCTGGTCTATAGTACAGTCTCTAATCAAGCCTTTTGTCTAGGTAGTGTAAATTCTAGTCTGTAGTGTAGTCTATAGTCTATTCTATTGTCTAATCTATAGTCCAGTTTATATGTTGGTTCCTTTAGATTTCTGTACACCATGTGGAGATTTTATGTATTTTGAAATGAATTTTAATGTTTTATTTCTGCATGCATAAAAAGACTGAAAACCACTTAATGAAATATTTCATATTCCAAAGATGGTTTGGACGTTTTTTTTTTTTTTTAGTTTACTTGTTAACGTGGGTTGTTGTAATAAATTGTGAGAAGTGGCAATTTAATGCTTTTTTAAAATTAGATTTAACTTCCTATTGCATCCTCTTTTTTGCTCCAAATATTGTTACTATTATAACCTTGATAGCAAACCTTTGCTTTGCATACTTTTCTTTTTTTGTTTACCTTAAATAATTTATTTTATTTAGTTTTTATTATTTACTATTTATATTATTAACTTTTAAATAAAACAGTACATATACCTTGTTTTTTGCTGGCATTTAAATTTTCTACTATAGAATTGTAAAGTTTTTTTGAATGTACTTTATTTAATGTTTAGCAGTTTTATATTAGAAATGAGATTTTTGTGTTTTTAAGGGAGTTTGCTTTTTACTGTAGTTTAGTTTCTTTTTTTTTTAATAAAATGTTATTGAAGTTATTTTAATGTGAGGTTAAACTTTGACCATTAGATGAATGTATTTGGAAAACAAATTGAGCTTTTGTAAAAGTTGTATATAAAATTAAGATATTTTTTTAATTTTTACAAAAGAACTTTGTAAACTTTTTATAATTAAATAATGAAAATAATCAGGTTTTTTTAAAATAACATAAATTTATTTTTAATTATTACCAAATCTTTGGGGCGTTTTCATTTCCTTAATTTATTAAGGAAGTAAAAGGTAATTTCTACCTTTTTAATTCCTATTCTTAATTTCCTTAATCAAAAAATAATTGGAATTATTTATTAACACCATCAATAGAAAAGTTATCTTAAACCACATTATTTAACAAATTAATGGTCAATTTTAGTTTAAGCAACAATAAAGATAAAACAAAAAAGAAATTCAATTTTAAAAAAATGTAAAAACTCTAATAAATTAAACAGATTTTTTAACTAAAATCACTTTCAATGCCATAACATTTTAAATCTCTGCTTTACCTCATTAAACTTTTATTTCCTCATCAAACTGTTCCCTTTCTAATACGCAAAAATTCGTTAAATTTAACAAAAAAAAAAATTACTATGAAATACTTACGCAATTCAGGTCTCTTACTGCAATCGATATTATATGGCAAATCGCATTTCTCATCATTGGGACTGTAATCGTTAAATACCATACCATCAGCGCATAATTTTTCAGTCGCTACACCATCACTGTAATTAATTTTGTTTTATGGTGGGAGAGAGGGAGAGAGAGAGAAGAGACAAAAACATAGATTAAATTAGACAACATATCATTGTTAGAGTAATAGATATGTAGAAGAAAAAACTACTAAAAAATCATTTGAATTCGGTGACACATTAGCACCAGGGGTATAAACACATACATATATATTACTAATACAATTATAGGTAATTAGAAAGAACTGTAGGTTTACACTGGATGACAACTAATACAGACTAAGATATAGACTAGACTATGAACAAGACTATAGACTAGATAATCGACTAACTAAAGACTAGATTAAAGACTAGGCTATAGACTAGACTGTGTACAAGACTATAGACTAGACAATCGACTAAACGATAGACAATAATATAACCTAGACTATAGTCCTAAACAGACTAGACTACAGACTATACACTAAATTATAGAGTAGACCATAGACTAGACTATAGACTAGACTATAGACTAGACTATAGACTAGACTATAGACTAGACTATAGACTATACTATAGACTAGACTATAGACTAGACTATAGACTAGACTATAGACTAGACTATAGACTAGACTATAGACTAGACTATAGACCAGACTATAGACTAGACTATAGATTAGACTATAGACTAGACTATAGACTAGACTATAGACTAGACTATAGACTAGACTATAGACTAGACTATAGACTAGACTATAGACTAGACTGTAGACTAGACTATAGACTAGACTATAGACTAGACTCTAGACTAGACTATAGACTAGACTATAGACTAGACTATAGACTAGACTATAGACTAGACTATAGACTAGACTATAGACTAGACTATAGACTAGACTATAGACTAGACCATAGACTAGACTATAGACTAGACTATGGACTAGACTATAGACTAGACTATAGACTAGACTATAGACTAGACTATAGACTAGACTATAGACTAGACTATAGACTAGACTATAGACAAGACTATAGACTAGACTATAGACTAGACTATAGACTAGACTCTAGACTACTAGACTAGACTATAGACTAGACTATAGACTAGACTATAGACTAGACTATATACTAGACTATAGACTTTACTATATAGACTAGACTATAGACTATACTAGACTATAGACTAGACTATAGACTATGACTCTATAGACTAGACTATACTAGACTATAGACTCTATAGACTAGACTATAGACTAGACTAGACTACTATACTAGACTATAGACTAGACTATAGACTAGACTATAGACTAGACTATAGACTAGACTATAGACTAGACTATAGACTAGACTATAGACTAGACTATAGACTAGAATAGACTAGACTATAGACTAGACTATAGACTAGACTATAGACTAGACTATAGAGACTATAGACTAGACTATAGACTAGACTATAGACTAGACTATAGACTAGACTATAGACTAGACTATAGACTAGACTAGACTAGACTAGACTATAGACTAGACTATAGACTAGACTATAGACTAGACTATAGACTAGACTATAGACTAGACTATAGACTAGACTATAGACTAGACTATAGACTAGACTATAGACTAGACTATAGACTAGACTATAGACTAGACTATAGACTAGACTATAGACTAGACTATAGACTAGACTATAGACTAGACTATAGACTAAACTATATACTTACTATAGACTAAACTATAGACTAGTGACTATAGCCTATAATCGAGACTGTACTGTACTCTAGTCTAAAGTGGAGACTATAAACTAGACTACGACTTTAGTCGAGACTGTATTCAAGTCTATATTCCATTCGACTATTGTTCTATAGTCGAGTCTATAGTTTGGTTTATTGTAGACACTATAGTGTAGTCTATTGTCGGGATTATAGTCTGGTCTATAGTCAGGACTATAGTCTGGTCTATAATCGTCGAGACTATAATCTGGTCTATTTTCGAGACTATAACCTCGTCTATTGTTGAGATTATAGTCTGTTGTATAGTCGAATCTATAGTCTGATTTATAGTCGAGCCTTTCGTCTGGTATATAGTCGAGACTTTAGTTTATTCTATAGCAGTGACTTTAGCCTGTTCTAATGTCGAGACTATAGTCTGTTAGTTTTACAGTTATAGTTATAGTCTAGTCTATAGTGTATAGTCTAGTCTATAGTCTATTCCACAGTTATAGTTATACTCTAGTCTATAGGTTAGTCGATAGTCTAGTCTATAGTCTAGTCTATAGTCTAGTCTATAGTCTAGTTTATAGTCTATAGTCTAGTCTATAGTCTATAGTCTAGTCTATAGTCTATAGTCTAGTCTATAGTCTAGTCTATAGTCTAGTCTATAGTCTAGTCTATAGTCTAGTCTATAGTCTAGTCTATAGTCTAGTCTATAGTCTAGTCTATAGTCTAGTCTATAGTCTAGTCTATAGTCTAGTCTATAGTCTAGTCTATATTCTAGTCTATAGTCTAGTCTACAGTCTAGTCTATAGTCCAGTCTAGTCTAGTTTAGTCTATAATATAATCTATAGTCTAGTCTATAGTCTGGTCTATAGACTAGTCTATAATCTGTTCTGAAAACCAGGCTATAGTATCGATTATCGAGAACCATGTCCTTTCTCAATTTCATTAAATTTAAGCCAGTGTAAACATCTTATAAAATAAATAGTTTATACACTAATAAATTACAGGGCACAAAATGTTAGTGCATAAATGTGTGTGTATGTGATTTTCTAAATCTCTAAACACACACATGCATGCATTAAATATTTTCTAGCTACTCTCAGCTATACAAATGCTACATTCGTACATACATACATTCATGTATGTACATCCCCTGGAGGCGTATGTGAAATGGATATTTCAAAGGTAATTCTACATTTAATTGAGTGTTTCTTTTATTTAGTGAACGAAGGAGCTGCTACTTCCCCCCTTGTTATAATGCTCTCGAGATGTTCAGAGTTTATAGGGATTTTTTGCTGTTGATGTTGTTGTTGTGCCGATGTTGATATTGTTGTTTTTACATTTAACGCTGTGGGGAATTTTCTTAATGTGTTTTTACAACATTTAAACTCTACTATAGTTAATGCAAGGGGAGTAAGAGGTGGAAATAGAGTGAGAGTGTCTGTATGTTGTTTTTGTTGTATTAAATAATGGTTTAGTGTATGTTTATTAAGAAGTGCTTAGGGATTTAATGATTTTACACAAATACTACAAACATACTTATATAGAAATGTTTTACAACAAATATTTATACCTTTTGCTAGACAAGATTTGTGTTTTGAGGGTGAATCGAAGGTGTTTGATTTGTTTATTAATATTATTAATTTAAGGTAATTAGAAATTTTATTAAGTGTCAAAATAATAAGTGACTGACATAGAAAGTTTTTTTTTTCTTTGTACTTACACACAGGCATAATATTTATCACATTGCTTATCACTGGGATAGAAACCATTGGGTTCGGGACAATGTTCGGTGGGTACATAATCATCTTCTACTGGTGGTGGATCGGTGGGTCTTTTGGGTAAATGCCTTTGAGAGGGTGGATGACCAGCACCCACTCTAAAGCCAGGACGTTGGGCCACAGTGCAACCTTTAAAGAAAAAAAATGAAATGGAAAATTAATAAATAACAAAAATATGTTCATTTAAATGGCAGAATGAAAAGGGGGAAATTGAAAATTGTATGATTTTTTAATGTTTTAGTAAACACGTCATTTGTTGCAAGTGTTGAATAACACAATAAACAATATCAATGCTAGTTTGTCATTTTTTTTTAAATTTCAATTTTTAAATGACAAACATTATGAAACGGAAAATGTGATTTATAATGTAAGTATTTGACACCCTACAGAAGGTTTCTTTCATGGTTATGGAAAACTTTCTTTATAAAACATAATATAAACTATTATTTATCTCTATAATGTACAGTTCCCAAAATTCTTTAAGTTGTTTTCATAAAAATTCTCCCTTTTTTTGTTTTTTTTTTCCTGAATTCTTTACAAACTGCAACACATGTCAAGTGTAACAATATGATCCTTTAAAAACTTATACCGGTTTTTATTATTTTCATGTTTCGCTATGTTTGTAAATAGAAATATATACTTTGGTCCATAAATACACATACACACTTTCATAGAGAACAAAATACAATTACAGTTTCTAGCAATGTCACGTTATTTATTATTTACTGTAACGCAACAAAAACAGCGAGTATTATTTTGATATAAAAGAAATACAGCTGGAAAATGCAACAAAAACAGCAACAATATAGTTTTGGTGTAAAGTTAAAACTGTCAGTATGTCAGTGTAGGAAAACTGAAAACAGTAAAAGCCATATAAATTTAATAAAGAAATTTGAAAAAATTTGAAAGACTAGACCATAAACTAGACTATAGACTAGACTATAGACTAGACTATAGACTAGACTATAGACTAGACTATAGACTAGACTATAGACTAGACTATAGACTAGACTATAGACTAGACTATAGACTAGACTATAGACTAGACTATAGACTAGACTATAGACTAGACTATAGACTAGACTATAGACTAGACTATAGACTAGACTATAGACTAGACTATAGACTAGACTATAGACTACACTAAAGACTAGACTATAGACTAGACTATAGACTAGACTATAGACTAGACTAAAGACTAGACTATAGACTAGACTATAGACTAGACTATAGACTAGACTATAGACTAGACTATAGACCAGACTATAGACTAGACTATAGACTAGACTATAGACTAGACTATAGACTAGGCTATAGACTAGACTATAGACTAGACTATAGACTAGACTATAGACTAGACTATAGACTAGGCTATAGACTAGACTATAGACTAGACTATAGACTAGACTATAGACTAGACTATAGACTACATTATAGACTAGACTATAGACTACATTATAGACTAGATTATAGACTTTAGACTATAGACTAGACTATAGACTAGACTATAGACTAGACTATAGACTAGACTGTAGACTAGACTATATACTAGACTAAAGACTAGACTATAGACTAGACTATAGACTAGACTATAGACTAGACTATAGACTAGACTATAGACTAGACTATAGACTAGACTATAGACTAGACTATAGACTAGACTATAGACTAGACTATAGACTAGACTATAGACTAGACTATAGACTAGACTATAGACTAGACTATAGACTAGGGACTATAGGACTATAACTATAGACAGGACTATAGACTAGACTATAGGGATCTAGGACTATAGACTAGACTATAGCACTAGTACTATAGACTAGACTATAGACTAGACTATAGACTAGCCTATAGACTAGACTATAGACTAGACTATACACGAGACTTACTAGACTATACATACTACTATAGACTAGACTATAACACTAGACTAGACTATACGATCACTAGGACTATAGACTAGACTCTGACGACTATAGACTAGACTATAGACTAGACTATAGACTAGGACTATAGACTAGACTATAGGACTAGACTATAGACTAAACTATAGACGAGACTATAGACTAGACATATAGGACTATAGACTACTATAAACTAGATCTATAGACTAGGCTATAGACTAGGCTATAGACTAGACTATAGACTAGACTATAGACTATACTATAGACTAGACTAAAGACTAGACTATAGACTGGACTATAGACTAGACTATAGACTAGACTATAGACTAGACTATAGACTAGACTATAGACTAGACTATAGACTAGACTAGACTAGACTATAGACTAGACTATAGACTAGACTATAGACTAGACTATAGACTAGACTATAGACTAGACTATAGACTAGACTATAGACTAGACTATAGACTAGACTATAGACTAAACTATAGACTAGACTATAGACTAGACTATAGACTAGACTATAGACTAGACTATAGACTAGACTATAGACTAGACTATAGACTAGACTATAGACTAGACTATAGACTAGACTATAGACTAGACTATAGACTAGACTATAGACTAGACTATAGACTAAACTATAGACTAGACTATAGACTAGACTATAGACTAGACTATAAACTAGACTATAGACTAGGCTATAGACTAGGCTATAGACTAGACTATAGACTAGACTATAGACTAGACTATAGACTAGACTATAGACTAGACTAAAGACTAGACTATAGACTGGACTATAGACTAGACTATAGACTAGACTATAGACTAGACTATAGACTAGACTATAGACTAGACTATAGACTAGACTATAGACTAGACTATAGACTAGACTATAGACTATACTATAGACTAGACTATAGACTAGACTATAGACTAGGCTATAGACTAGACTATACACTAGACTATAGACTAGACTATAGACTAGACTATAGACTAGACTATAGACTAGACTATACACTAGACTATAGACTAGACTATAGACTAGACTATAGACTAGACTATAGACTAGACTATAGACTAGACTATAGACTAGACTATAGACTAAACTATAGACTAGACTATAGACTAGACTATAGACTAGACTATAAACTAGACTATAGACTAGACTGTAGACTAGGCTATAGACTAGACTATAGACTAGACTAGACTATAGACTAGACTAAAGACTAGACTATAGACTAGACTATAGACTAGACTATAGACTAGACTATAGACTAGACTATAGACTAGACTATAGACTAGACTATAGACTAGACTATAGACTAGACTATAGACTAGACTATAGACTAGACTATAGACTAGACTATAGACTAGACATAGACTAGACTATAGACTAGACTATAGACTAGACTATAGACTAGACTATAGACTAGACTATAGACTAGACTATAGACTAGACTATAGACTAGACTATAGACTAGACTATAGACTAGACTATAGACTAGACTATAGACTAGACTATAGACTAGACTATAGACTAGACTATAGACTAGACTATAGACTAGACTATAGACTAGACTATAGACTAGACTATAGACTAGACTATAGACTAGACTATAGACTAGACTATAGACTAGACTATAGACTAGACTATAGACTAGACTATAGACTAGACTATAGACTAGACTATAGATTAGACTGTAGACTAGACTATAGACTAGACTATAGACTAGACTATAGACTAGACTATAGACTAGACTATATACTAGACTATAGACTAGACTATAGACTAGACTATAGACTCGACTATAGACTCGACTATAGACTCGACTATAGACTAGACTATAGACTAGACTATAGACTAGACTATAGACTAGACTATAGACTAGACTATAGACTAGACTATAGACTAGACTATAGACTAGGCTATAGACTAGACTATAGACTATGCTATAGATTAGACTATAGGCTACACTATAGACTAGACTATTGACTAGACTATAGATTAGACTATAGGCTTGACTATATGCTAGACTATAGACTAGACTCAAATGAAATTTTTGAAAATTAGTTTTTAAGCAAACAATTTTTTTAAAAATGTGTTACTTCTTCTAGATATTTTATTATAACTAAAATTTACCTCGAAGGGAAATTATCAAAAATAAAGGAAATTTTGAAAATTTAGCAACATTAATTTTTAAGCATTAATTTTGTTAAAAATACATTTTTCGTTAACAAAAATCCTTAAAAATCAAAAGGGAAATTTTGCAAATTTTGTCAAATTTGTGTTATTATTAGAGTAGTTATTATTAGAGTTCCAAATATATATTTGTTAATAAAAATTATTCTAAAACATAAATTTCCTTTAAAGGAAATTTTTTAAAATGAGGGAAATTTTTGAAATTTTACAAAATTCCCTATTAAACAAATATCGTTATTATAGAGGTGAAGTTGTTTCTTGAAATATCCTTAAAATTAAATTTCCCTTAAAGGAAATTTTTAAAATAAGGGAAATTTTGAAAAATTTAGCAAATTTATTTTGAAGCAATTAATGTTATTAAAAAAGTGATATTTTTTCTTAAAATGTGTTTAGAACTAAAATTTCCCTTGAAGGGAAATTTGCAAAAATAACGGAAAATTATGAAAATTTTAGCAAATTTGCTTTTATAGTTTTATTCTTATAGTTTTATTAAATCTTTAATTTAAAATTTCTCTTAAAGTAATTTTTTTGGAAAATTTCTCTTGAAATGAAATTTTCAAGGAATTGTAGGGAAAACTTACATTTTCAAACAGATTTCACTGTTGGTTATTTCTATATTCTATATTTTTTTCCCTTCAACATACTGTAAACATATCTTTTGTTGTATTTCCAAAAATTTTATTTATTTTTGCAGAAATATATATTTTTATTTATTTATTTCCTATTGCACAATATTTTTTTGTTTGTTGTTATTTAGTTATGTCTTTTACAATGACATTACAAGGGCTTATTCCACTGAAGTTATTTGAGTTAAAATATTTCTTAGTATACTTAAGATTCATTTAATTTTTTTATTTATTGTTTTAGTAATTTGCTAAGAAATGTCAATTTTATTTTACATTAATGTAAAGTTTTAAAGAATTACAGGATTTATTTTTAAGAATTTAAAAGATTTTTATAGAAATTACAAAAATACTTAGTTTAAAAATTTGACACTAATTTAATAAAATTTATAAATT